GCGACACGCAACGCTCTAAGTAGTGAGTTACATATAAAGAACTTTTACCTTCGTTCCTTGAGGGTGGGTAACTTCAATTCCTCAGCACTGGGCACATACCAGTAGGTTCCCTGGAGAGGTTGCACAGCACTGATCAAGGTATCGGGGGTTACCTCACCTAGCTTAGACTCTTTGTCACTTCCAGCGATGTTCTTCAGTATCGTCTTAAAAACCTCCGTGGTGTTACACATGTGCATGTACATTAGTCCCTCCTCTCGACCAGGTTGGTTCTCTATGTGACCGTACGGCATTGACACACGGAATATACGGGAATGTCTGAGGAGGCCGTTCACTGGTGGCACGTCCGGTACCACATGCACACGTGCAATGTGGGCGCGCTTGTCCGTGTGAGGAATGAAAGTGTCGGTGGCAGATTTTCGTCCAACCATGTCTTCCTTTTGGATCTGTAATAATTAAATCGAAAAGTTTGTATTTTTCGAACGTTTAATTTCTCTTGACAAAACTTGGTTTCAATATCAGTCAGTTAATTTCAGCCCACAGTTTTCAGTATCATGTTATAATTACCCTGAAAATTCCAAGAAGTTAGTTTCTTAACGCCTTTCTTTCGTTCCCTTTCAATGTGTTTGCTAATAGCCACGGCGAGAATTAACACCGAAATTAGCTTTTAACTTCTGGAACTTTTTCAAACTAAACCGGGTCAGGTCGCAGCTCTCGTAAGATCTCACATGAATGCCTTGAAACCCTTTGAGAGGACAATAGAACAAACAACAGAAACAATGCCCCCCTAGCCCCAAAACAATAACAGCTGCTAACAGTGAAGAGAATTACAAGCTTACGAGAGCTGCTACACTACTGACTAAACCCGCCATGGGATAAAGGAGGTGAGTCACTTAAACTGATAATGGCGCGGTGCGAAAGTGCGATTCTCTTATTTCTTTATCGTTCAGATTTGAAAAGTATCTAGCAACTTTCCAAGAACGCAAATGCTGCGTGCCCGTTTTTTGTTTGCAAATCCTATCGATAGAGACATACAAAAACTCATAGACGGTGTTTAACTTCGATTTTGGCTCCCAAAGCCTTGACATCAATCTCTGCATGCCATCCTGATTTTCTTCCCTCAGGAAAGCTAGCCAAAAACAAGCCCCTCATGCACTCCACCCCATTGCAATTGAATGTCAATTTTGTCACGTTAATGCATGTAACCTCGACCTAGGAGACCAATCCTAGATCAGTGGTAAGAGCGGTAAGAGACAGTCTTTCGTCTCCCAAGAGGGAGGAATGATGAGCACAAATCTGTGTAGAAGGCTACAGTGAAAATAAGCTCGTGGAGGCGGCTAACATCTATCTTATTTCCTGTTTCTAAACCTGGGCGCGGTTGTTCAAAACCGCGATTAAACTAACCTCCGATTAAGCATAATCGTCGATTAAATTTCCTAATCGTGGGTTAGAAAACGGTTGTTCAAAAGGAGATTAATCCGCCGATTAACCATTCCGCGATTAAGCGTAAAGTGGATTATTTTAATTGATTATAATGTATTCTTACGCTATTTTACGTCATAGAATTGCGCGACATTTTTGTTTTCAAATGGTTTTCCTGGCGAAAAAACTGCCCGTGAAACTCTGGCCTTGTTTACTCCAACTGTATAGCTGATAACTTGAAGAAAGTTGTCATTAGCATAAAATCTTACTTCTAGCAAGAGCATGGCCATGCTTCGTTTTTCTCCGCAAATCCGCCTCTATGAGGTTTGTGGTGTTCAATGTACGCTCTCCCGAATCGCTAACGAGTCCGAAGCTGTTTCTGGATATGAACGAGTATGTTATGATTATATCGATAACATTTGTCTTACGCGAGGGAGATGAAACAACAAGCCGGACATTTTTCTTCAAGTTTAATCGGCAGATTAGGGAGTTAATC